AGGGTACTAAGTGACTTTGAATGAAGAATTGAGCAACCATATTTCAGGAAGGACAAGACTCAGGACTGTCCTGGGGAGTCTCAGAAGCTGGAACTGAAGGATGACAGTTTCTTAGCCCCTTCTCCTCAGAATGTCCATTTCCACCTGCCCTCTCCCTTTGGTGACACTGTCTCCTATGAAAGGATAGAGGGAAGAGGCCAACCGTGGTTTGTGTGGGCATTATTGTTGGCAAATCTGAAGCCTAAAGCAGAACAATCCTTAAAAGGAGGGAAGTTTTTATTTTTATTTATGTCTTGTTTACTTCCCAAAGGTCATTGAGTGAATCATGGTTCATCATCTGATAGGTGTTAATTTTATAATCTAGATAGTATTTACCATGTGTGACAAGTATAGTATAATTGTATTCTATCTAATGGTACTTCTTGGTATAGACCTACATTTTTTAAACATTTTCTATTTTAACACCAGGCACAGTATTGATGTTTAATAACCCTAATCTAGTACGTCATGTACTATCTGCAATTAAAGAGTGTGCTCTTGGTTTTTACTACATATATAATTAAGAACTAGAATGTATCTATTTTTGTATCTAAATTTTAGGTCTATTAATCTGAAAAAAACTTAAGATTAAAATTATATGTTATATAATAATTATTTTTAAGTTCTTATTTTTGTAAAAACTGCCTTATTTCTCTTCCAGACATATTAAAGAAAGAATATAATGTTAGAGTAAATGATAATTATAATATACTAAACACCATGAACCTTCCAAAAGAAATGAATCTATGGAAATGTTGACAAGAACATGCATCTCAAATCTAATTTTGACTGGTGCCATAGTACCTAAATCTTTAACACAAAATTTAATTAATGTAAATATTGAGCATTATTGTGTTGGTTGGTGTTTGCATAAATGTTTTAAGGGCATAAATTATGCAGTGGTGTTTATGGCACAGAGGAGTGCTGAGTCAGAATCTGGTTAAATCATGGCCATGAGATCTGCCAGCAGCTTATGGGGGGTCCAAGTTTTCTTTTTGCTTTTGATGTCCTTATTTCACTTTAAATAAAATTACTTTAAGTTTTTATCATTTTCTTTTAGGCATAATATTAATAGGTGTCATATAACTAATTTTAGCCAATATACAAATCAGTTTTCCTCTTATTTCAACACCTGAGATGACCGTTACTTCTATTCTAATTTCTATTGTCCTTGCTCATCCTTTCTTTGTTTTGTCATATAAACAAAGATCTTTGCTAGTCCAAGTAAATGATCTGGCTGGTTGATTTAGTCTGCTTTTTCACTGCTGTGACCAAAAGACCTGACAAGAATAAGTTTAGAGGAGGAAAAGTTTATCTGGGGGCTCGCAGAGGATGTATCGGTCCATAGATGGCTGGTTCCGTTGCTCTGGGCCTGAGGAGAACATCTTGGTGGAAGACTGTGGTGGAAGAAAGTGGCTTAGGACATGCACCAGGAAGCAAAGAGAGACTGAGTTCACCTCACTAGGGCATATCATCCCCCAATGACCCACCTTCTCCAGCCACACCCTACCTGACTAGAGTCACCACTCAGTTAATTCCTATCAGGGGGTGAACACACTTATTAAGTCAAGGCTTTTAATATTTATTTTTTTGTTTTAGGTAGACACAATATCTTTATTTTATTTTTATGTGGTGTTGAGGATCGAACCCAGTGCCCCACACTTGCCAGGCGAGCGAGCTACCGCTTTGAGCCACATCCTCATCCCGAGGCTTTTATAACTCAATTATTTCACCTCTGAAGTGAATAATTTTCACCTTTTTATAACTCAATTATTTCACCTCTTGCACCACCTCACACAGGAGCTTTTGGGAGACACCTAATACGGAAACCATAACACTGGTCTTATGAATGACTTAGTTGGTTAGACATTGCCCCATGATCTCTGAAATTTAATATTTTGGACAGCAGGGGACTAAACCTTTTTTATTTACAAATGATTTGCTGTTTTGATTTCTGGCTGATTCCCTGTAATGCTTTATCCTTATAATATAGAAAGTTTATTGGGAGATATATGTAGATATTTTTCTTCTTTCTTTTCTTTTTTTTTTGGATGCTCCATCTTTTTAGTTTCTGTGCTCAGGTCTCTTTTAACCTGAGAAATATTAACAAAATCATGTTCTACTGTGCTCTTCCTTTACAGTTACTTAATTTTATACTCACTATATCTTTGTGCCTTGTTCATTGGTCCTGTCAGTATGTTTGTTGTACACCTTTAATCCTCCCGCACTGTCTCTCCATGTAAAGTGGGTGGTGTGCCTCCACCCACGCATGGCTTATGATCCTTAGCAGCTAAGTGGCGGCTCAGGGTGTGGATTTTTTCTTCTCATCCCCTGCTTCTGCCTCTTTGTAAATGGTAAGGGTGTTGGCCCTTTGCTTCCCATCAGGAGAATGCACTCTTCTCCCAGGCCTCCCCACCAGGTTTCTATTCCACTACATGGACAGCCTGGGAGCCTTGGACCTGGTTTCAAGTGCTATCCATTTTCTCTCTCTCTAAACCTGGAAACAAATATGTGATTCTTGTAGCAGCTCCTTCATCTATGTCCCAGTGATGTTCTGCTTTCTCAGGAAAAGAATCAAAGAGTGATATCTTGTCTGGCTTTAGCCCTTATCACCCTCTTTTGATTTTTTTTTCTTTACTGGGGATTGAATCCCCAACCTTATGCATGCTAGATAAGCAACATACCACTTGGCTACATCCTCAATCCCTTAAAATTCATTTGATGGAAGCTGAGCACAGTGACTCATGCCTGTAATCCCAGCAGCTTGGGAGACTGAGGCAGGAGGATCACCAAGTTTAAAGCCAGTGTTAGCAACTTAGTGAGGCCCTAAGTAACTTAGTAAGACCCTGTCTTAAAAAAGGGCTGGGGATGTGGCTCAGTGGTTAAGCACCCCTGGGTTCAATATGTGGCACCAAAAAAATAATAATATTAATTAATTAATTAATTAGGGCTGGGGATGTGGCTCAAGCGGTAACTCGCTCACCTGGAATGTGTGGGGCACTGGGTTCAATCTTCAGCACCACATAAAATAAAATAAAGATGTTGTGTCCGCCAAAAACTGAAAAATAAATATTAAAAAATTCTCTGTTCTCTCTCTTTCTCTCTCACTCTCTCTCTTTAAAAAAATTAATTAATTAATAATTTTTTGATTGAGGGATGGAAGATTAGGTGGTATGTATGTTTATATTATGGTCTTAACCAAAGTGTATAACCTTTATTTAAAAATATATATACATACACACACACACACGCCTACATGTACATATACATAGCTATAGTTTATTTGTGCATGTGTGTAGAGGGGTAAAGGAAGGGATAGAAGAGTGGGATGGAAGCAAAATACACCACCATGTGGCTTGTACAAGATCTTTTTAAAAAATTATTTATTTTAATTATGTATATATGAGAGCAGAATGCATTTTGATTCATAGTACATAATTGCAACATAACTTTGCATTTCTCTGATTGTACACAATGCAGTGTCGCACCATAAGTGCAGTCATACGTGTATCTAGGGTAATAATGTCCATCTCATTCCACCATCTTTCCTGCCCCCATATGTCATCCAAGCTCTTGAAAGCTGCTTGGTGAGCAAAGCCCTCGCATTCTTCCCTGGCTTCCTTGCTGCCCTCTGATCCCTATGATCTCTGTGCTTAGAAGGAGGTCACAGCTTTTTAAAGAACTCACTGACCACAGATATAATTTGAGTCCCTTCTTCATCAAAATAAACTGCAAGATTCAGAGGGCTGGATTTTCATATCAAACTCAAAAAGAATCAGAGCACTTGCTGGGCGTCAGCTCACTAATCAGCTCAAGAGCACGAGTAATTTCAAGGCCCAGGAGAAGCAAAGAAAGGCTGAGCTCCCAGCACCTGGTTCTTCCTGGCTGTCTTAGGATATGGTCTGTCCACAGAGTGACAGAGGAGGTTGCTAAGAGATATGTGTATCCACATCACTTACACAGAAGGGTCCAGGGACAGAATTGCTCCATTTTATACTCTGATAGCTACATAACTTACATGAGGTTGTCCTGAAGCAATATCTTACAATAGATTCTAGGACTTATTTAGCAAATGACTTGTTTAGCAGAGTAGGTACAGTCTGCCAAAGGACTTCTCCATTAACAGTAGCCAGGAGATCTTGTATTCACACCTTTACAAGAAGATCAGACTGCATCTTCCTCATGCAGGAGAAGAGATTCCAGGTTTTCCTTCCCACAATTGGATCAACTTTAGTCTACTCTGTGATGCTTCTGCTTATGTGGATTGCTATTCCCCTCCACTATTGATATGTCTAGTTCATGAGACAAGTAATCAGGTAAATGAGAGAATTCCAGGGAATTCAATTTAGTTAATGTTTTAATGTAGAATGATTGATCCTAAAAGTTACCTACTGATAATACCAAGTAAAACATCTACAATTATCACTTGTGCTTAATTACCTAAATAAGAGACTGTAAGGATGGTAAACCCTATTCTATGAATTATAAAGTATTTCAAAATTGCTTACGATGAAATGTAAATGCTGAAGATAGGGCGGTCAGTTTAGTGTATGTCAGTGGTCTTTTAATCTGTTCTTTTGATATTTGGGGAGTGATTTTGCCCTTTATATTCTTTATTTTAAGTGTTTCATGTTAACTCTTTAAGCCTTACTTTTATTAACATTTAAACCTTATTTATATTAACTGTCATGCCTTATTTTGTCTGTTGAGCGCAATCTTTATTCTGAGATTCATGGGAAATCACTCTTAGACTAAGACAAGCATGAAATGTCACTGTGCATCATACATTTGCACTGATAGATGACTGTCTTGCTTGAGTTCTAAAAGGGAGGCTGTGCAGCACAACTACACAGGGGCTTGGCCCAGCCACCAACCTGGGCATCATCATTTCTACTTCCTGTTTGTCCAGAGACTCACCATTCCAACACAAGCTTCTGTGTCTGTGCCCCTTGTTTTGCTAGGGAGGACGAGCATGCCCTCATCCAGCAGTACTGCCAGACGCTCGGTGGGGAGTCCCCGGTGAGCCAGCCTCAAAGTCCAGCTCAGATCCTGAAGTCTGTGGAAAGGGAAGAACGTGGAGAACTGGAGCGGATCATTGCTGACTTAGAGGAAGAACAAAGGTTTGCTAGGCCTAGGAGAAGAAAACTTATCACTCTTTCTTTCATGTGGATATCAGGGTGTTCCCTGCCCATCTTCTTTTCAGAACGATTGTCCAAGATGTCACAGTGGAATCAAGGTCTTGGAGGACATTGACCCATTGGGATAGGGGCAGCAGATCTGACAGTGCTTGATGATGTCTGTTACAATACTAGCTTAAAGCTACTGTTTCCTTCATGCTTGCTGGTCTTACTGCTGATACATGTCTTTACATAGAGGAAATAGTAGCACAAGCTAAATTTGGAGCCCATAGACAGTGTGGGAGATTACTATTTGGGAGATTACTATTGCACCCAATAGTAATTTCAGTGTTTTCTTTTTTTTTTTTTTTTTTTGGATTAGAAACCTGCAGGTGGAATATGAGCAGCTGAAGGACCAACACCTGAGAAGGGGGCTTCCTGTTGGCTCACCTCCAGACTCGATTGCATCTCCTCACCACACATCTGAGGATTCAGAACTTATAGCAGAAGCAAAACTCCTTAGGCAGCACAAAGGTCGGCTGGAAGCTAGGATGCAGATTTTAGAGGATCACAACAAACAGCTGGAATCTCAGCTGCACCGCCTTCGACAGCTGCTGGAGCAGGTAGGGTGTGCTGAATCCAGCGCCACAACCCCTGTGGCACCTGTCCACCTCCCAGAGGTCTGGGCCTGACACCAGTAGACGTAGAGGTCCACCTTCAATTTCTTACTTCCATAGTTAATTTAATTTGGACAGGCTTAGGAATCCCTTTGTGTGTACACATTAAATCCTTACTGGCACAGAAAAATGTGTTTTCCCAGTTTACAGTGGAATCTCATTTTTCTTTAGCACGGAAGTCTTATCTCAGCTCAAAATAGTTTAATAGAAGAGATCCCACGGCATACATTTGCCTACTACATCACATATGGGAAGCATCTGTGGAGATTAAAGGACAGCAAGTGACCTGAATCTGCATTCTAAAGCTTTCTTCCACCAGCCAAGAAAGCGTACTCCAAAAATCACTATTTCCAAGAAATTGAGTAACAGATGGTTATTAATTTGCTACTATTATTTTCTAACACTGGTCCATGTTTTATGGCAGTTGCTTGCAAACTTTTATGACAATAAGAAATGCAATTTGTATTGTGATGAAAACATATATGTTTGGTGAATACAAAATAATACTTGCCTTTATAGAGAAATGCATCTCTTAATTTTCTATTCTTTTTCCTTTTCTTCTTCTTCCTTTCCTTCCTCCCTCTGTCTTCTTTTCCTCCTTCCTCCCTGCCTGTCTGCCTTCCTCTCACCCTTCTTTGCTGCTGCTGCTGCTTCTTCTTCATTGTTTTTTACTTCTCTTGTTTTTCTTTCTTAATGCTGGTCAGACCCTACTAAATCAATTTTATAACTCATTAATGGGTAATAGCTTGCAGTTTTGAAGACCACAACAAGATAGTATCCTATATTACAATTGTATATAACAAAACAGACCCTATACAAAGACAGCATGCTGCACAGCATCCAATACTCATTACACGTTGGCTTAAAGAGCAGGAATCATGACACGCGAGCAATGAAGATGCCTTGACAGTGGTTGCACAGAGGGCAGAATCCTGGTGCAGGGCCAGGAACTCCTTGCTTGAAGAATCCCTGACATCAACAGACATGTCCTCTTTGGCCTTTTTTCTTGCTTAGGCCGTGTGAAGCTCCTTGGTAATGGAATAAGGATGATTTTCTCCAGAAATGATGCGTGGCATCAAAACCAAAACAACTTTCTCGCTAGTGATTTGCTCAAATTTTAGGAAACTATCTTGTCACAGTTGCTCTCAGTGTCCTTTTAACTTGTCAGAATCAGTCAAAACATTATAATTTCTGCATTACCTACGTAGTGGGCCACAGATCTCTCCTGATAGTTTGACCGTATGCCTTTTTCTCCTTCCTATCATCATCTCGGAATTTTTGTAGCACTGCTTTGTGGGAGGTTTAGCTCAGGGCTTCCAAATTCTGCATCTTTTGAAAACAACTTCCCCCCCCAAGAGTGACCCAAGACCTAGCTTTCTGATAACACTTCAAGAATACTCAATTCTTGCCTAGGTGCCAGTCACACACTGAAAAGATGCCATTGCTTATACCCTGGATTGGAAGTTTCTAAATAATGCCTGAGAAAAGGATGAGTTTGCTCATGTGATCTCTCACTTAGAATATGAGTGTCAATGTTGACAGCCTAGTGCATATGTAGAATCACTGCGGAAGAAACCTTTATCAGCTGTGGCTTGTAGAGGCTTATAGGAGACCTAAAGACTCTTGTGCTCCCGCTTTGCTCCCTCCAATTCCTCCACCCCATTAGGCAGAGCTGCCTAATGGCTCATGCGCCTCAGGAATGGCATAGTAATGTGTTTGAAGACAACTAATATCTAAATGACTCTGAATATCCCAGATTGTGGAATCTCTATCCCTTGTTAATGATTTAGCATGAATGCCAGAAGTAGATGGGAAAATTTAACTCTGATAATAAAGACAAGCAAAACTATCAGACTTCAACTAATATAGATTTAATGGGAAAATCTATAACAAAACAATTATAACTTCTGCATTCTGTATACAAGGAATTTTGTTTTCTAATTTGACCACATACTCATCAACATACCAATGACCATTTTAAAGATTTGGGTAAGAGAGCATTTAAGAAGTATCTGCTAGGTGTTAGAATGTTCCTGTCACTTTAGAAATACTCATTCATCAACCCCTCAGATTCCTATGACATGGGCACCTGTTGCCATTTTTATAAATTTATTTATGATATTATAATATCTTATAATATTTTTATAAATATTTTATAAAATTTATTTTTATAAATAGAGAATCCAAGGCACAAAAAATTGTTTAATTTGCCCAGAATTACACTGCTTCTGAATAGCAGAGTTAGAATTTGAATTTAAGCCAAATGACCCCAAATCCTGCTCTTATCCACTCTTTCCAATATTGCTTTTAAATCTGAACTAATTCTGTAATTAAATACATTTACTGTATTATAAGCCCAGTGCTAATGTTTAAAAGATGAGAGAAACATGCTTCTAAGTTCATTTGTTCAATATAAAAATAATGGAAAAATGAAGAGATGAAAATGACATTGGTAAATGAATCCCTCAGTGTGTCCAAGTGAGCTCTTGAAGTTGCCACACAGAAGGGAAGGACCACTTGTATTTCTCTCTAGTGAAGTACTAGTGTGCCCACCAGCTGGTGCTAAGAGCTATTTGAAAATGCCTGAAGGCAAAGACCTGCATCTGATTTAATTAACCAGGATGAGGGAGGGAACATTGAAAGGGAACTGCTTTCCTTCAGGGTTATGAATCCTGTCTCTACTCTAACCACTTCATATGATTCCAGCCTGAATCCGATTCCCGAATCAATGGCGTCTCCCCCTGGGCTTCACCTCAGCATTCTGCACTGAGCTACTCACTTGACCCTGACCCAGGCCCACAGTTTCACCAGGCAGGTCAGTACCCCTAAGGCACTGCTACTTCCCGAATCTGCTTTGTATTTGGCCATTTGTTTGGTTTTCATTTCAAGGAGCCTTAGAGCATAAATGTGTATTCTCTTTGGTTTTAAATGAGCGCAAATCCATTTTAACAACATCAAAAGGCAAACATTTTAGAATAGTAATAAGTCATAATTTGCTTGTTTATATAGTTTATAGGAGTGGATTGAATTTTGGTAAAAGATGAAAAAAACTCCCTTTTGGAATGAGCAAGAAATTAACTTTTTATTTGCTTCAAGAATTATTTTTTTAAAAGTTGTCATATCTCTTTAATTTTCATAGTTTTTGCATGTTCAAAACATATTACCCCAAACTGTAGGTTTCTCTGCCCAGGTCTGGGAACTCATTTAAATCTTTATATATCTCGTGCTAGTAGAAATTACCTCTCCTTCCCTCTGAGACAGAGGTCCCACCAAGACCATCACTGGTCACAGGGAGACCTGTCACTAACGCTAGGAAGGACCTTCTAGGCATTTAAGAATGACATTTTGTTGAAGTTCAAGTTCTACAGTTCTACTGAAGACTATATACTGTATCAAATTAATTTATCTGTAAGATATATTTTGGTACATTAATCAGAAGAAAAATTAAAATTAATATCAGTTTAATATTATCTTAAGTAACTAATGTGACTTGATTATTAAAAAAATTAAATTAAAAATATATAATATATATGTGTTACACACACACATATATATATACATATATATATATATTTAGTTGTAGGTGGACACAATACCTTTATTTTATTTTTATGTGGTGCTGAGGATCAAACGCAGTGCCTCACATGTGAGTTCTCTACCACTGAGCCCCAGCCCCAGCCCCTATATGGGTCTTTTTTTTTTTTTTTGGATAAAAACATACTTGCAGTACAAAATAATGGATTTCCAATTAAGACATTGAGAATAGATGATTACATTACTTATTTTCAGTCTTATGTTTTACCATAGTGCATGGATTGTTTGGACACAAGCATCTAATACATTTTAATTATATAAAATCATATTACCAACAACTGAATATTAAAAATGTTTTCGATATTTCCTCTGAAATTGTCTTTTCAATGAGAAGTCATTTCCCATTGATGTTTTGAGGCCAGTCATAGAATTTTCACCTGATGTTGAGTGTTGTTGGGAGTCTGGGCACTGGATTCAGAAGTTCTGTTCTTTCTGTGTGCTGTTGCAGCAGCAGAGGACCTGCTAGTCCCACCCCAGGACACCAGCACGGACCTCACAGAGGTCATGGAGCAGATCAACAACACTTTCCCATCCTGCTGCCGTGAGTATGAAAGATCACGGCACCGTTGTGTGCTATGTCCCACCCTTTCGTTTTCTGCAAGCAGCCCCTTTCTTCTTGGGTAGGGGAGCAAAAGCTCATGTTAGAAACAGGATTGAATATTATTTGAAATGAAGGCAAACATTTCCACATATTGATAAAGAAAAAAAGCTCAGCCTCGACACCATCACGTCACGGGGGTGCAGTGACAACACAGGCCCACTCTGAGATTTTTTTTCCATATGTCTTGTGAGTGATAAAAGGAAGGCAAATAAAATAATGTCTGATTTTAAGAAGAAATTATTCTCGTCAGTGCAAGCTATCATAAGAAACTTGTTTTACTTCAAAGGAGAGCTTAAGCAGCATGCCAAACAAGGCATGAAAATAGCCTTTCTGATGTAATTCCCTGTTTTCTTCAGATATTGCTGTCAGATGTCATCGGATGCTGGTATATAAAGGGATTACTTTCAGGTTTTTTTTTTCAGTTACTTTCTTTTTTCATGGGATAAAATAATCATTTTGTTAAGGCCAAATGATTAAAAGCATCACAGATTATGGCTTTGTGAATTTTCTATATGAACAACCAAGAACCCAGAAAATCACCAAATAAAACAATCCAAATCCAAGGGGAAATTTTATAATAATTCCAAGTTATTGATTTTTTTTTCCAATTTTTATCTTTGGCATCTTGCCACCTTGCAATTTCTGCTGAGTTCTCACCTAAATAACCTCTGTAATTTCAAAAGAAACAGTCTACTTGTGTTTGTGTGTGTGTGTGTGCACACGCACATGTACACCCACACATGTGCAAGCTACTTAGTGCCACACTTAATTTTAAATTATTTTCAAGAGTACGAAAATATTATCTGTAATTTCAGGGTGAAATCCTCTCACTGATTTTAAAGCCACACAGCCACTAAAGTAAGATTTTACATGAAACACAGCTTCCCATTTCACCCTTTTCTAACATCTCCTTAGAAAATAACTAAACGAAGAAAAAGATACTATCAATTATCAATATTGTGAGTAAATAAGATATATTGTCTTCATTAAAAGTTTTTCTTTCATTTTCCACTGCTCTGTAGTTTAAAAAATGTCATCATTAGCAAGATGTAAAGACAACTATTTAAAATATATTCTCTGAATTTTCAAGAGTGTTAGCCTAAAGGGAATATTATCAGTTCCACAAGTGCATAACTTTTTATTTATATTTACACGTCATTTCCCAGGTGTTTATTTGTAATTTTATTAGTTTTCTTCTCAATATTTGCAGAATCATACTTACAGTGTGTCAGTCGCCACATTTTCTGCCCGAAACATGTGCACACACAACACATGTACACACCCAAGTGTGTGTGGCACATCAGCGAACACCCATATACATATACACACAATGCTCATGTGCACACACACATACACACACACACACACTTTTGACTCTATTATAGAGTCTCAAAACAGCTTAAGAGTCAGGCTGTTAGATTGTTGCTTATTTTCTAGGCTATATAGCCATCACAATAGATTAACAGATAAAATCCTTTATGTTAATTATAATTCAAGGTTGAATTTTATTTTAGAGGTTTTGGTTCTGAGTTGTATATGATTTAATGGCTACATGAAACCTCATCATACTTTTTGGTAAGAGTTTCAACATTAAATTTTTAAAGGATATTACTTTTTTGTTCAGCTTACACCAAAAGATATTAATAATTAAAGAAAAAAATCTACAAATCAAATTCTGCCTAGAAGTTTTTCTTTTTTAATGCCATGGTGGACATTTTCAATTTAAAAATCAGTTGGCAGTGAGAGCCAGGATGGGAAGTTTGTATAAGTGTATGCCTGCTAACGAATATAAAATATATAATTTCCATATTAAAATTTTCCTACAGATCCATGATTTTTTTAACCAGCTTCATTTTCTAAAGCAGCTACTCTGAACTGCAGTTACTCTAAACTGTGGATTGTGTAAAAGATTGATCAATGTCATACTCCAAACAATATAACTAAAATTACATATATAATTATAGAGCAAAAAAAAATGAGTTTTAAGAGGTAAATGTGTTCATTTCATGTTATGACCCACCCCCTGCCATTTAAAGACATGCCTAAAATTCCTTTTGGTTGGCAAGGTAATCAGCTGGATATTGGTTCCTGAAAAGAGTATTTATCTTTAAGGTACCCACATCAGAGGCTGACCCTGCCTTTGCATGGGTACCTCTTCCCCTGAGTGGTTCTCCATGGTTAGAGGTATTGTCTGGAGCCCTGAGATTCCTTAATGGGGAGCTGGTTCCATGTCCCCCTCATCTTATGTTTGTATACTCACAGATATCTATAATTTTTATAGCTTTCCAAAAATCATCATTTCTGTGAATGATGAATGGTACCAGGCATGTGTTATTTTGAGGAATTCAATTACCTCTCACATAAGAAATGATCAAAAGTATAATTTTAGAGTCCTTTGAAATTCAGATTTTTTTTTTTTTGGCTTCTGTAAGTCATGCTGTTAGTTTGGGTTTAGTTTGATCTTCTTGGTATTTATATTTTGCTTTGACAAAAAATCTTCAAGACAGACAACTTCCTATTAAGAAAAGCCTCAATTGACTGATTTCTAAAATTGATTATATGTTTTAAAATTTTTCCTAAAGTTATTGTCTATTTTTAAATTAGAGGATTAATTTGCATGTGACATAGAATTGATAACTTGTTACATGTTTCTGAATTGAAAGAATATGTGACTGATTACATTTTCTATCTGGAAAGATTTAGTTGACATTTTCCCAGATGGTATGCAGAAGATTCTGTAGGATCCATTTGTTCTAGTGCCCCTTTTAAGTTGCTCAGCTAGCAAATATTTTAATAAGGCTTCACAATTCCCTGAGCTTACTGACCACCTTTGGAGCATTTATCTAAACAAATCGTATTGGCACTCTCCCAACGCCAAACCAATCTCTTGAGCCCCTGTAACTAATGAGAACTTTAAAATTGCTTGTCACCAGCAAGCGATGAATTGATCTGCATGTTAATCTTGACTTTTGATCCTTAGTGGATTAAAAACTAGCATGGCCACAAATGAATTTCTTCTCCTGGCAATCTTGGAATTAAAATGAAACTCTGTATTTATAAATCCTAATTGCATGGATTGCTTACATTAACATTAAAAAAAATGTCTACTTTAGAATTCCTCTGTTTTCAATAAATATCCCAATTGGTCCTGATCGCATTTTTGAATTATAGCCTTTTAAAAATCTTAAAATTATATAGTTTCTGAGTAGAAAGGAAAGCATTGCCTTCTCTTCCTGGCAGAGAGTTAATGAAGTGAATTTAATTGTGCTGCCAATTAATATACATGCTAAAATTTCCACTGACTGCTCTACCCATTTCTTTTTTAGTGTAAAATATATTGCCACTTTTTTTTTAATGTCCTTCATAGGTATGGGATACTTGTAGTAAGCTGAGTAATTTTGCTGATGGACCAAAAATACTTTTAAGGTTATTGTTAATTTACCAGCAGATTTCCCTTGTGAATCACCTGTATTTGTTAAAATTGAGTGACATTTATTAAAGACTCAAAACCTACTAAAATGGAATTTCCTAATTTTCTTCTGAAATACATTGGTAAGATTTGTGCAGGGAAGTATCTATGGCCTTTTATTTGATAAAAAAGCTATAGGGTTAAAAGTATTGATTTGGAGCACAATGGGATGTACTTCTGTCTAGGGTATGCTATTTGTTACATACAAGAAAAGCATAACTGCTTCTTTTAGAGAGAGTGTATAAAGGCAACAGGTACTTGGAATCCACTTCTTTTCTCTTGGATATAACTTGCATATCTGATAGGGAGATTTGCTGTAGCCTGATTCTCGCCCCAATAGGGGATTTCACACTTTTCCTTCCAGGCATCATAGGGAAGCACCGGCACCCAGCCTGTGGTCACTGATGTCTTCTCCACCCTCTGCCACCCTGCAGAGGAAAATGAGAGTCAGCATGCCAGATGACTAGGTTGGCTCCTTTTGGACCAAGAACATAGGTTGCCATTACAGGGGACTGGAACTCCTCATTTTTACCCCTGTGTTAAACATGATTGTGCAGCAAAAGGGGATTGAAACATCTGAGACCTTGAAAAAGTAATTTGGTAGTGGCTGCCCTCACAAAGCCACTGGATCCGACAAGCTTCACTATTGTAGCTTCAGAACAAAGAGGAAAGTGAGCTCTCTGGAGGCAGAGTTGAATTAGACGCCCCATTCTAACTTCTGCAGTGCTCTCAACTAGGCCTATCCTAGGCATTAATCCAAGTGTCCAGAAAGCTGGCAAGGAGTGGGCTAGTCCTTTCTTTGACACAAGCACATATCCACCCTCTTCCCATAATTTCCAAGAGAGAGTCAGCTAAGGGTGGCAGAAACCAGACCCCATTGACTCCAAGTGGTCCGTTGGTCACAATTTATACTATTCAACAAAATATGCTGAATTTGTCTGTTCTGATACATAAAGCAAATTCATGATGTGATTTAAATAGAAAGCTTAGAGATTTTTTTGCAATATGCTCACTGAATGCTTTAGTGCATATTTATTTGAGAGAGCTTACATATGTTTTGTTGGGCTTTTCATTTTAAGTCACATGGGATATGAGAAACTAGGAGCTATCCCTTTTTAGAGCATCTGGAGTGAGAAAAGCTTGGTCCTTATTCTCCTATTAGTATCCATTAACAGTTGAACCCTTATCCCACTCTGAGTGGTATATGCCACACATTTGATGCATGGAAGCTGGAAGCAATAAAGCAAAAATAGGGCCTTCGACTGATTTCTTTTGTTTTCTTTTTCAGCAAATGTCCCCAGCAGGCCACAGGTAAGAGTTAATGTCTTGATTGGCTCAATTGTTGCTGATCCTAACCCAGAGTAAGCAGATTAGCTACCACTGATTTTAGTCTTATTTCATTCTCCATATAAATCCATAAACTTGTTTGGCATTTAAATGCTAGTTGATTCTGTACAATAGTTTGTCAATCTGGAGGGGTCATAAAGGCAGGCTTCCAAGCCAGATTCTACAGATAGCAAAAATACCATGTGTTTGATCTTCTGTGTTCTAATGTCATGTTATATGCTAGTTGGAAGTCACCCTGGGTAGATTTGGCCAACCACTTTTCTCTCATGTCTAGTTTGTATAGAACATTGACTTTAAAAAAAGTGACTAGTACCACAACAGTGATATAAAGATTATTACTCTGGTGGGGAAAAGTTAGAATTTTTCATTTAAAATATTGTTGCAATTTGTTGGCAGCTATAGCTTTATGCCTTGCAGTATTTTTCTTAGCAGGGACTCCTCGTAATAATGTGCCACGGGACCACAGTAGATCTTTAGGAAGATTTTTTTCCACGAACTTGTTAATTAGTCTTATTTAAAAATGGTGAACATTCTGAGTGTCTTATTGGCAGGGGAGCTGCAGTCTTGGCTGGAAGACACTATTCCATGTCACATTGGTGATGGCCATGGGTTTCTTCTGATTGCTTCTATTGTCTTAGTGAATTGAAAACTAGGCTTCATCAAGGAGCGAGGCTGGGGAGGTGTCAGAGATGTAAGGAGAGAATGGAGGATGTGCTTGGAGAACACCAGAGCAGATGCCCTCAGAAATAGTGTGACAACCAGGCAGCAGTAGAGGACAGCATCCAATGTGCCAGTCATGAATTTAACAGAAGGCCAGCCTGCAGCCACATTCCAGTTCATAAACACGGGCACCAGAATTACTGTAGTGTTATATTTAATATTTTAACAAAGTCAAAGTTGGGTCAACCCCATCAAGGAAAGAGGCAAAGTAGTGATTGATGATTGAAATGATTTAATCAGAACCTTAAGCTCAATGGTGAGAGACATTGAGTCTAGTGTAGGAGAGAGAGAGAGAGAGAGAGAGAGAGAGAGAGAGAGAGAGAGAGAGAGAGAAAGAGGCAAGGCTGTATGGATCTAAGGATGGATGATGTGGCCATTCTATCAGAAATAAACTGAAAGACTAGATGTGGTTGTCAGAAGGTGGGTTGATGGAAATGTTGGAGGAATGGCATGTTGCGTGAATGGCTAAGAGAAGAAGGGGACAGGATCACTGGAGAAGAGGCGCTCAAAGAAGTGAAGGTCAGAGTGTTGGCAAAGTCATCTATGCAGGTGTTGAAATCATTGACTTAAAAAGAGGTTCCAGGTGGGTGACAATGAGTCTACAGATAGACTCTTCTTCAAGAAGTGAGGAGGTGATTCCAGGAGCTAGTAGGTGACTGTGTTTTCTATCTGAGATTCAAATGAGTGTTTCCATGGAGAAGAGAAAGAAAGAGGCTAACCCTGAACAGCTTCAGTGAGGCCCAGAAAGACTCTCGGGGCTGTGAGGAGGTGAGAGAAAAGTCATGTGTGACTTTCATGTGTTGTATGGAAATCTGTATCTTTTTGAAGATCCAGATATTGATTAGGCAAGCAGGGAAGGGAAGCATCCAGAGAAGAGGTGGAGGATGAGGATTTTACTGCATCATGGACATGTGATCCAGGGGCCATGGTCGGGGGGTGGTCTCAAGAACTAGGGAGGTAGAACATGGGGACACACTTAGAGGAGTTCATATTTCTCTGTGGAACAGCATGTAGAATGAAAGGGCGACTGGAAATCTGGAATCTGGAGTATGTTACAATAACCCATTAAGAACAAGGAGAGAGGCTGTGATTAGTCCTTGTTGTCCCAAGGTGCCGGCAAAGCCTGGGTGACGGTGGCCGGGAAGCAGAGAGGGAATCATCTTATAAATCCTCAAGTAGTTTACAGGTGCTCAGACTTTAAAGCCTAAAGTGATCTAAAAGACCTTCTTCTACATTATTTTCAGATTTTAAAAAATTGGGTTTAACCAGGTACACATGATACATGCCTGTGATCCCAGCAACTCAGGAGGCTGAGGCAGGAGTTGAGTAGTTGAGCAAAAACCCTGTCTCAAAATAAAATAAAGAGGGTCAGGGATGTAGCTCATTGATAAAGCTCCATCTCCAGTACCAAGTACCATTAATTAATTAATTAATTAATTAAAAAATAAGAAATTGAGTTTGAAAAGAGCTACATGTACCTGGATAGAGCAAACATCTGACATCCAGAAGACCCCTTCTTCCTTTCTCCCTTCCCTCTTCATTCCTTTTTTTTTTTCTTGAATCTTCAGCATTTTCTCTCTTTTCATTTTTCCATTTCTTGGGTCAAGTGGAAGTTCATGAAAAGTATGTTTTCACCTGGATAGTTGTGCTAACAATTATATTGCATGGGAGATGTTGTCCACTCATCAATAGACACATCCGATTCCCAGGGATAATGATGCATAGAAATGATTTTAAAACTCTGCCAGGCATGATGGCACATGCCTGTAATCCCAGCGACTTGGGAGGCTGAGGCAGGAGAATTACGAATTCCAAACCAGCCTCAGTAACTCAGTGAGACCCTAAGCAACTCCTTGAGACCCTGTCTCTAAAGAAAATATTTATAAAAGAGCCTGAGGATGTGGCTCAGTGGTTAAGTACCCCTGGGTTCAATCCTCATTACCAAAAAAAAAAAAAAAGATTTAAAAATCCTTTTGACCTATCAATATTAGTATGTAACAGCATGTTCTTTTACAGGTAAAATTGAACTCTCTCCTTCTCTGTCCTCAAAGTTCTTTGAATTTACTTTGGTTGTCACTGATTCCATATCAGAAATGAATGAAGTGTTGTTGAGATACCTTCAAAATACCCTTAAAAGACAACTATTTGACCTTGCCTTGGAAAAGTTGAGCCCGCTCCGTTGAGTGTGGTCTGAATTTGTATCCTCTTGCCTGGGACATTTTAAGTTTAATGGCCACCTCTGCACATCCTCAGATTACTCTTCTGCCTTCTCTTTCTCCTTTCTGGATCCCAGCTCACTACTGAGAGGCTGGAGCTGTCAGAATGTCGTCTCCACAGGAGACCTCTCATGACATCAAGAGCTGGGCTGGGTGCTCATTATATACTCACCACTGGTAGTTTCAACAGGAAGAAGCAAGTCTTCTTGATTTCCAGCCTGTGCAAAAGGAAGGGCATCCATACTTCCTTTCACATTAGCTGCAGTAGTGAAAAGGAGACTAGGTGACTTTAGAATGAAAGGGAAGGACCTCACCCCAGAGGGCAGCAAGTCACATGTGAGTTAGGGATGCCCTCTGAACTCAGCAGGAGGAGATTCCACTAATTCTGAAAGGAATGCTTCTATTGAAGAGTTGACAGGTCTTTGCTACCTGGAATACTTCATGCAAACCTTGTTCTGACACTGCCATTTTCCCTTCCCACAGGCAATGTGAAGCATCCATCCAGCCGGCTGACATTTCCTGACTTACAGTATTGCCCTTTTCTGCAAATGCCAATTCCAAGTTCCATTTAATCAGAAGCTCCATGGCTCCTTGACACGTGCTGTTGAGCGCTGACTGTGTGTTCTACTGAGGGAGTAAAACACTTGACTATCCAAAGAGAAAAGGATATTTTGTTTTTATAATAACCATATATTATTGTTTTCTTCTTCCCTTTCTATGCAACTGTAAATTAATGAACAGAGAGATATTTGGAAATGGTAATACATTTGTCACTGATTTGTATAATGTATACAGCATTGGGAAAGTGGGTGGGGGCTTTCTAATATGATACTGTCTTTTTAATAACCATGACAAAATTTGCGTAAGAATTAGAAGACCACTTTACATTTTTACATTCCTTTGGCTGTCCATATTAACCTTGTACAATGACTTCATTTATTTCTTTGACTTTATTACATTATGTTTTGGTTATTTATAATTCATCTGCCACATGACCAAATAGATTTTGTGTATTTTTTCTATAATTTGGCCAAATTAGTAAGTTCATAGACTTAAATCGAATATTTTACATATATATACATATATAGGTATATGTGTATATATATATGTGTGTATATATATGGATTAGGCAACAGCTCTGAGTATACTATTGAACTTTATTTGACACCAGACACCTGCTTCTTCAGTAACCACTTGGATAACCACAATAAGAATCCTAAATGGCATGACCATTGGGATTTTTTCCCCTGCTCTTTATGCCTTTGTGTAAGTAAATCTTGATTTCTTTATTTATTTCATGTCCCAATCTATATAATAAGAGAAGACAGCATTATAATAATCTCAAAGAACATTTTACCAAAGGTTATCCATTGAAGCATGTTTTTATTTTGATACAGAAAACAAATGTTGCCACAACATTTTCTAGTCCTGGGGTCTTGGTTTTCATCATTGAATACATAGCTAGCTATTAGCTATTGTGAGACCAGGACACATCAATGTTGTTAGTTCCCCTTGAAGAAAATTTTGTTGTTTTTTGTATTTTCCAGTCCTTTTATCATTCTCAAAACTTATTTCTGAAAGCAGACCCAAGACCCAAGTTCAGTGCATGTCTTCTTTTACCTTTTGGGGGAATGAGCAGAAGTGTTACTACCCTTCACTTAATCAGTGCATTTGGGAAGGGTGCTTATCAAAAGCCTCTGTCACTACTTCCAAAGAAGAATGAATAAAATGCTTAGTTGTACTCCTGCCTCTGCCTATGAGTGCATTCAGTTAGGTATTTGGTTCCTTTTTTTTTTTTTTTAACATTCAATTAGGTATTGGATTCCTTTTTAAAAAACATTTAATTGATTCATTGTAAACCTGTTACTTAGTTACCAAATGTAGAGAAACCAAAAATAAAAATGAGAATAATATGTTTTGATTCAAGCATATGTGCTTTTAAAACATCAGGACATTTAAACTTTGGGTTCTCTTTAACTGGGATCTGGCCAGGAGGAGGCTTAAAGTTAGAAATTGCTATTCTTTTAGAATAGGTTGGGTGGGTTGGGGGGCAAGGGTGTATTTGCAGCATAGATATTTTGAGAAGAAGAAAAATGTTTTATATAAGAGGAAAGCCATGACCACCTTTCTACCTCAGATCCATCTTCCTCCATTGTGTTGGAAATAGCTTTATGCTGTGCAGTCTGCAAAGTCTAGAGCTTTTATCAGGCCATATCATACCCAAGAAAGCACCTATTTAAAGAAAAAATTAAATCCCCTGAACTCAGAACTCCAAGTTGTAGATTTGGTGTTTTCCTTGTTCTTGGAGAAGTCATATGTTAATTTTTTTTGCCTGTATTTGTATGCAAAATGTTCTCTATCTGCTATTACAGAAAAGCTACATAAAACACTACATTGTAACCTTCTAAGTAATAATAAAAAGAAATATATTGCAGTAACAACAATGGGAAATAAGTATATTATTCTTTTGAAATATGTGGTAAAGAATAACTCATAGATTATCATCTAATCTGGTTACATGTTGTATTTTTCATCCTGAATAAAAGTAATTTTAACACAAAATGACTTTGATATTCACTTTGTGTTCACTACCAGACTCTGACCCTTGAATGCACATTAATGAAAATAAACTACAGAGTGAGCCTATATGCTGACAAATCTGCATATTTTCTAGAAACTTCTCATATACTCCAGTTCACTCTCCTTTTTTTTTTTTTTAAAAAAAGTCTTACTCTGTTGCCTCTTACATATATGTATACTTATGGCATTTTTAATTTTTTTTGTATATCAAAAGTTTATTGATAAGGAAAAATAATGTTGATATAAAAATATATACATAAAGTTCTCTTGAGCCTTCATTTTTATAATTAAATGCTATTAGCATTCAGTTGGCTACTCTCTCAAATCCTTAAACTCATCTTTGTACTGGATTTTAACTACTCTAGTAGCAGAGTAATCCGTTTCTGAAGCCATCCAATAGGAAACTGTCAAGAATCGTGTTACTTGATTCTAAAATTATAAATCTACTCTGAATTTTAAAAAATCCTTAAATATATGTTAAAATAAATGAAACATGCATTATGATAGACTAATATTTTAAATATTTGCTCTACCACAAAGGAATAGTCACATTAAGAATTTCTAGGAAGCAATTGTCTTCAATAATTTATGGCATGGGTAGTTGGAATAAAAGTTTAAAAAATGAAAAAGTTTTGTTTTTATTAGCTTGTTATATATCGCTGAAATTTACACACACACACACACACACACACCGTGCACCCACATATGTGAATGTGGTTTGCTCTTGGATATTCCTCCACTCCAAACAGATTCACTGTTTAGTAGACCAACTCTTTCAAAGGCCTTTCTTACTGAGAACAGAATGAAAATCTAATAAACACCACTTAAACCTGTAAGCAGAGGAAAATAGCTCAGGACATTCCACCTGGAAGCAGAGAGATAGCACTCTGCTCAACAGGGACACAATGTAAGCTCCAAAGGCAGGCCCTCACTGACCCACCTCCTCCAGCTACATTCCACCTGCCTACAGCTGCCACCCAGTTAATACAGACTGGTGATGCTCTGATTAGGTTAAGGCTCTCATAATCTAATGGTTTCACCTCTGAGCTTTCTTGAACCGTCGCACACACGCACTTTTGGGAGACCTCTCATATCAAAACCATAATTGATTCTCTGGTTAAGAAATTTTCTGATGCTCTAGTGCCCTTTGGAGAGTCACAATACACATGAACATATTAAGATCTTTAGAAATCTGAAGAAAAGAAACTGCCTAAATGCATATCACTTTGTATTTCTAAAGCATTTAACCATAGAACACTTCTGTCTTATTATTAGCATCCTTCAGTGTACATTTTGGATGCTGAATTACTGTTATGTTTTTGTGTTGCAAATAGATACATTTAGTGATCCATGAAATCTATAAAAATAACAAATGGATGATAAAACAATCATCAACATTAATTCAGGATTTTAAAAAGTAGAGTACTGTTGGATGGCAACAATACATTCTTAGCATCAGAAGTTATGCTAAGGTATGAATAAGGATCCAGAAAAACAAAACAAATGACAGTTTTCCCTTAGGTTGGCTTTGTACTTAGTTCAGAAAATACTTATATTTCTAGAAAAACATGATGTATTTTTCTAAAAACCATGTCTTCTAGATGGGCCATGTGTATCAGGCTCTGCTAAACCAGACATGAATTACAAAAATTAACAAGAGACAGAAATGTCTGTGGTATCCAAAACATTATTTCCTGAGATCCTTTTTGTATGTTTGTTTCTTTGCTTAATTAATAACCGGAATTTCTGTTTTTTGCTAAAACCAGCCAAGCCATTAACTAATCAGAATGTGACTGCCATGTAATGGAACTATAAATATCACTTTCTGTCTTCTGAAAGCTCTTTTTGTTTGAGGGTTTGAAGTAAAAACTCTCATCTTTTTTTTTTTTTTTTTAGAAAGCAGTAATTTGTTCTAGATGGTCACAACTTGTTTGAAATATTTTAAAAAATCTATTCCTTTAATGTATCTAGCAAACACGAACTGATTATTACATTCACTTCTTAACATTCCATTGATAACAAAAAGAGGAGTCCTATGGAGCAGACACTGTAAATTTCCCTGTGAATGTTAACAGATCCTCATGAGATTAGTTACCCAGTATCAGTTCTCTTCAGGTTTATCACATATAGATCCATTTTTTTTCTTAAAGCAAAGTACTTAAGAGAAAATCCATGAACAAGAGCACCAAAATACAAGCTGCAATTGGCCCTGCCTTATGTAATCTCAATCAGTCTTTGCAGGAGTTAACACAGGTGCAGGAGTGGTGGTCTTTACATTTCTTTCCTTGGTAGCACTTGATGTCACATCGAACACCCCCAGGGCATGCTGAATATGAATTTATACAAGCCATCCTAAGACTCTGTCATGTGTGCCTGCTGGTACCCCAACATACCACTAAAGTAATTTATTGAAAAAACAAAGTTGAGTTTATCATTTAAAGCAGTAAAAGAGAACACCATTTGGCAGAGTTGTTTTTTGTTTGTTTATTTTTGTATTTTCTTAGAGGGGAAAGGACTTGGTTAGGTTGCAAAAGGGAGATGATACAAGGATTTAGGATCAGTAGGCACAGCAAGCTGAAGATTTTTAACAAGGGTTTTGATGAATCTCAGAGGAACATAATTGTTGGATACTATGTGTTTAGGAATTCATGTTTATATAAATTGATTTTTCAGAAAGTTTCTGAAATGAATGATAAGGTTGTAATCAAGGCATAAAGACAAAGACAGAGGAATACCAAAGCTATGTTTGTAAAGACAATAGCTTTGTGAAGTCATGACAATGTAGACAAAATGGTGTAGTTGCTTTTGTTTCTCACTGGCTTCAGTCCTGCTTTGGGCAGACCATTAACATCTGGAAGCATGGTCATGGGACATCATGATTGGGTGATGTTTGGGGGCGGGGGTCCTTTCTAATCTCATAGTGTTTTCCCATTTTTTTTTTCCTGTGGGATGATTGTGTGTTGGATCATTAGAGGGGCAGCAGCTACACACAATCTGTGCAACCCTGGGATCACAAATCTGAGTGTTGCAACCCAGAGAAACACCAGGAAAAGAACTATGAGCAGAGTCAGCCAGGAACCATCCAAAATAAACCAGATGAATAGGCTTGAACTTAGAAGGAGTTATTAAGTAAAAGCTCTGAATTTATCATATCTTGTTTT